CTGGGGGCGGAGGGGGTGGTGGCGGTGGGGCATTTTGGGGGTTATACTGAGGGAAAGTAGCTGGGCCAGACGTAGTCTGGGGTTGAGGCTGGTTCTGAGGCTGAGCTGTCAGGAAGGCTCGCTGCCCGCGGTAAGGTGAACCTTGAGGTTGCGCTTTGGGCGAGTGCATGAGTGAAGGTCCAGCGTAGTGACTCTGCGAGGGCCCGCAGTGAAGCTTGCTGGGCATCAGAGTGGCTGGTTTGGAGCTCGAAGTCTTGGTGCTGGACTCCTGGACAGACAGTGCCTGAGGCTGAGAAGGACCACAAGGCTGTGCTTCACCATCTTCCTCTTTGGATGGTCGAGACACAGTCTGGGGTGCTGGAGAACAAGGCTGTAAATGGAAAGAAAAATGGTTTATGATAACAACTTGCTGGTTGAGAAAACTAATTGTGCATGTAAACGTAGCCATTGAGGGAAGGTTATCTTACTGCATGTGTCGAGGGGCTCTTGCAGCTCTTGGGAGAAGGACATTCCTTCACCTGGGAGTCGCCACCCTCTGACTCTCCACTGTCTGAAAATGAGACAAAGCAGGTATTTTAATATTACGATTAGAAAATTTGACCAAGGTTCCTACACCTTTTGATCAATGCATTTCCATGATTTCTACAGTTTGGGCTAACCTTCTTACAAAGTTTAGCTCCAACCTACTGCTCCAGCACACCTGCCTGGAAGCTTCTAGTGATCCTGAAGACCATGATTACCAGTTTCATTGTTTAATTAGGGTCGGAGCAAAACTCTGCACGACGGACACCCCTGGGATTATTGGATGAACTTTTTAAAAAAGACTTCCATTTGTATATCAGGTACCAATTCATGGGTTTAAACAATTATCACAAAAAACATGGAAATCACAATCCAAAGTTCCCTGATGTTTCCAGGGTTGTTTTTACCTGCATCCTTGCGATGGTCACTCAACAACAAGGCCCTGTGGTAGCTTCGTTCCCTGGCCTGCTCTACTGACGTTGATGATGTCCTGTAAATTAAAAGAGAATTATTATGCTTCAATATTATTTTTAATTCATAATTGGCAAAGCTCAGTTGGCCCAAATGGCCATCAAACTGTCCAAGATATCTCCACAAATGTGTTTCATAACCTCTAATGTCACAAGACAGCCTAATTTCTTGATAAGAGTTTTAATCTGAAACTTTAAAACAAATTTCTATTGTAAAGGAGTTTGTTAAAGCGTGAGTACTTTATTCTCATGGAAGGGAATATATTTTAGGGACATACCACTGCCCTTCTCCATCTCTCTCCCCCTGAGGTGGGGCGTCTGGCTCCTCGCTGTGCTGAGGAGTCCTGGGGGTTTGCGTTGCTGTGAGAACAGGTGGCTCAGGGACCACTTCCACTGCGACAGGGAATACATCTACAGGTGGTGCCGTGGAAACAGGGGAGCCACACTCTCCCTTGGAGCCACTTCGCCGTGCCTCACGCTGACGTTTCCGGTACTCCAGAAGAGACACCTAACAACACAAATACGAGATGGGTACAGTCAATTAACAACATTGAATAAATGGAATACATGATTTTTTGACAAATTTATTCCAGCCATTTCTTCAGTTAAGTTTAACGGATAAGGAATTTAACAAATTTTTATTTACATTTATGCATTTGGCAGATGCTTTAACAGACCTTTTTCTTCTGTGGGTTCTTTGCAGCTCCTCCCTCCCCTGTGCCATCACCACTCAGTGAGCGAGTAAAGGTCACGCTGCTGCTCTCCTCATTACAGGAATAGAAGGGTGCCGCCTCACTGAAGGGGCCAGCGGAGGTTGAATCTGGCCTGTATGCCCCCATCTCTAAGGTGTGAGAAGGGGTGAGGTCTCTCAGATTAGAGTTCACTGGGGAAAACGAGAGGCCACCTCGGTCTGGACTCTTCATCCAGGGAGGGTAAGAGGAGGCTGGTGTCTCGGGTGCAGAGGCAACTTCTGAACCTCCATCGTCAATCTCCATGCCTTCATCTACCGCGGCATCCTGGGGCTCAGCATGGGAGGGCTGAGGACTCAGAGAACCCAGATCCTGTGGAGCCGTATCAGAGCCTGCATTTTTCACGCTGGGAGATGCCAACAGCGAAGGAGGTCGTTCAACCTGACAAACGAACAAGATGTGTTAGATGTGCTAATGAAAAATGCAGAAGAACACCTCTGTAGCAGGTACAGGATATTTAAGTAGTGAACTCACGTCTTGTGTACTGGGCCTTCGGCTAACATCTGGAGAACTGTCCATAGACGACTCGCTCTGTGAATTTACAAAGATATTTCATGATCATTTTGTTGCCTTTAACCAAAATAATGCTTCAAATCAACGCCACAGAAGTGACCAATCATTTTAAGATCATCACCACTGGTGATAACAGTCCACGCCGGCCCAATAGCAAAAGTGTTAGTGCCCTCTTGTGTCAGAACTATATAGTTCTGTTTTCACAGTTTGGAGATAACTTTCATTTAATATTGGGCAAAACATTTCCACTACATTTCGCTCAAGATTACTGGATTAGGTTTTAATTGTTTAAGAATCCTTTTAGAGAGACTGCAATCACAAACATCTAGGGATTCATATTTTAAGTTTGACTTAAATGATATATATATATATATATATATATTCCTGTGGCTCAGTGGTAGAGCATATATATATATATTCCTGTGGCTCAGTGGTAGAGCATATATATTCCTGTGGCTCAGTGGTAGAGCATTGCGTTAGCAGCGCAAAAGGTCGTGGGTTCAATTACCAGGGAACACACATACTGGTAAAAAATGTATAGCCTGAATGCACTGTAAGTCACTTTTGATAAAAGCGTCTGCTAAATGCATAAATTATTATATATATATATATATACACACACACACACACACATACCTCTTGTGGCAGAGGGTGGTTGGGAATCTGCAAGGGTGTTGAGGGCTCAGTACTGGGTTCCTCTGGTCGTGGTCGAGGAGGCGTTGCAAGCAGCAGTGGTGTGCCTGGTGCTTCTGTTGACTCTGTTCGGGTTGGGGTGGCACAAGGAGACCCGTATGGGGTGGAAGTCTCTGACATACAGGGATCGAGTGAACATAAGCGCCTTTTCTTCAACGGGGTAGGCAACTCTGCAAGCACATGGACCAAGAAAGACTAAGGACTGCTTTAGACAAGCTTTAAGTTATTATTTTGCAGCAGACATGGACTGATGTCCCACCTGGTAGTGAGCAACTGCCGTTGAGAGGTAAAGGGCTGTGGGACTCGCCGTTTATAGAGGGGCTGAGAGGGCTATCACTAGGCATCAGCAGAGAAGGGCGTCCTTCACCTGGGCTGGTGGAGCCCTCCTCTTCTAAAGCTTGCTTCAGCCAGCGCTGCACAAAACATATGGAGTTAGACCAGAAACTTGCTAGCCTAAATATGAACACTTGAAAGTAAATATTAAAGTGGATCTGAGTTCAAATGTATGGGATTATTTTCCCTGCAGTATCATCCGCCAGAACAACCATTTTATAATCAGAGAGAGGCAAAAGTCAATAATGCTTGCTGACATCTCTGAATAATGCAGCAATTTTACCTTCTTGCAGGAACCAGTGGTAGGTGATGTTTCAGGCATTTCTCTTGAGCGCCGCCGCCCCGTGGGCACTCCCAGAGTGCTGGGGCTACGGTTGGCCAGAAAAGGAGAGGAGAAGCGGACGTAGTGTTTAGGCGTGCTGTAGATGTGTGAACTGCAGGCCATGCCCGGTAGGGAGTTCAGCTGTGTGGCCAAGACCTCAGGATCACTACTGATCCGCAACGGCCTCTCAGGGGGAGGCTCCGGAGTCCGAGAAGCTCCCCGTTCCTGTTTGTCAACACCCATCCACTCGCTCACTAAGTGCTGCTGGGAAAGAGAATATGCAAGTTATAAAATGCACAATAAACTGCTTTGAAACGCATTTTATGGAAGCTATGGGTGAAGAATTCTACCTTTTTAGTTTTGGGGTACTTCTGTCCACTGCGGCAAGGCGGGGCAGGTGAGCCGCTGTGGGGTGGGCTGGTGTCAGGGTCATGTGACGGTGGAGCATCAGCCTCAGGGGCCGAGGGCGTCTCTCCATCATGAGTCTCTGTTGTTAAGGGCTCTAAAGCGTCACCAGGGGAACTGGGCGGCAAGTCAGAGCAGGTGCTGACCGTTCGCGCTCTCCGCCTCTGCTGTCCTATGTGTGTGCGGTTCCGCGAGAAGCTTTTCCTCTGTTTTAAATCAATGCCGTTCTTTTGAACTCACTATATTAGGCTTTTTACTGTATTTCTGATCAAATAAATGCATGTAACATTAACAGTTCACATTTTATTTAGGGTCATATATGACCCAAAAGTAACTTTCGTCTACAACTTAATGTCAATCGAGTCAGAATCAGTTGTGCAGGAAACACGCTACTGATTTGGTGATGTTTGCACATCATTGAAGGTTATGTACCTGTAACATGACAGGAGATTCAGCCTCTGGTGTAGCAGGAGGCTCTTCCTTAATCTCGATGCGTCCACCAACTTCCCCTTTGGTGCCGATCCTTTCTAACGCTTGCTCCCTCCGCTTTTCTCTTTTCTCCATACGAGCAAATGCCTGCAGAATGGCCTCCATCTTCCTCTCTTCACGTGTCTATGTGAATGATGGACAGAAAGAACGAAGGAAAGAAGACAACAGAGAAAGGTTGAGTCTAATTTCTGGCTGACAGTTGGGATCCTAGCTAGCTACAATCAGCAGGCCATAGCCAGCAGCAAAGGCGGGAAAAGAGAGAAATGGGACACTTCTCTTCTAGTCTAGAGGAAACATAAGACACCACCAGCATGACCAGCATGGGGTCAGTGAGCACTTTTCCTCTGTTTGTTCCGGCTCACCTTTGCTGGCTTCAGACAAGGCTCCTCCTTCACTACCTCTATCATGGGCTAAAGGTCCAAACAATGAACGATATATATATGAATGATGGACAGAAAGAACGAAGGAAAGAAGACAACAGAGAAAGGTTGAGTCTAATTTCTGGCTGACAGTTGGGATCCTAGCTAGCTACAATCAGCAGGCCATAGCCAGCAGCAAAGGCGGGAAAAGAGAGAAATGGGACACTTCTCTTCTAGTCTAGAGGAAACATAAGACACCACCAGCATGACCAGCATGGGGTCAGTGAGCACAGGACAGTGGGGTTAGTGTGTGGGTTCTCCTGTACAGTAACAGGCAGGGGGTGGGGTGGGTTGGGTGTCATTCATGATATGATGGGATAGGTTTACCTCCTTGTTTCTCAGAGCTCTGCAGCAGGAAGCCCCTGCGCCGTGACGATGGGACTCCTCTGCCGGGCCGCCCTGAATGGTGCCGAAAGAGACAGCCATCAGGGTTCAAACACACACAGGACTCTAGTTTGCTCACACCCCCATGCACACATTCATATGTATCAGCCTAGTCCTTGCTGTCTGGGTAGTGTGGTTGGGGTTCAGAGTTTCAGTATGGGCATACCGTGTGATTAATGGACATACCCCTCTTTTACCAAAAGGTGCCGGTTCTGGGCTGGGAACAATTGTCTTGAACAGAAATCACTAATGTCTGAAACAAGGGGGCAAGATAATGTCTTCACCACATAAAGTTCTTAACTACACTGGCGGCAAAAAGTGGTCTATGTGGGAAGTGTCTGCTGCAATATACATGCTGTTGAGCAAAAACTTGTTTAAGAGCGTGTTGTAAGTATTGTAGTCTGTTGATAGGCTTAACGGGGACCAGTTCCAGGAGAGGTTCTCAAATCCCCAGACCAAGCGCCAGTACCATTATGGTGGAAAAGGGGTGTTAGAGAACTCAAATAAGAATGGCAGGAAATCAGAATTGTCTTTGAAATGCTTGTCTGTCCTGTTGCAGCAGAGAAAATGAGAGGAATGCTTGGGGAATTTCCACTAATAACGTACCAGAGTCTGGTACCTTGCTATTAATTTATTCAGATAAAACCACATTTATTTATTTATTTTTTTTACAGCTGTTAGTATTTTTTCTGCTTTGTTAATCGTAGGCATTTTAGGAATGGTTGTGAGTTATATTTTCTTCACAATGTTTGTTGAGGAAAGTTTTGGAAGTGTAATGGGTTCAGAGCCTGTTTTTCCACACATTTTTCCACCTGCCTTTAACCAGTCATGGCAAGCAAACAAAAAAGCACCACACACAGTAATAACCACACCAAAACATTCACATAAAACATGTTTAGTGAGAGAGTTACTACACTCTCTATGGTTGATCTTAAACTAATATGTAACCAATAGCTAAAGCTATTATTCAACCAGACAGCAAGCTCCATGCCTGTTGGTCCATGCGTCACTAGGGTTTCAATCAAGTTTCATTATTAAAAACAATTCTATGTGAGGATCTTTGCAACTTTACGTGACCTTTTTTTAATCAGTCAAGAGTTTGACTCTGTAATTTACACCCTAACATATTTTTGATGCAAAAAGTAACACGGTTTTTGTTCAGGATTGTTCAGTTTTGGTAGGCAGCAGTGTTGAATAGATGCCTGATTGGACATGAATGGTCGTAAATGTGCTTCAGAATGGAACAGAGGACCAAATATATAGTAGAATACCACCACATTGGGTTCCATGTTAATTAACATGTAAATTAAAACACTGTGTAGTACTTCAGTAGGTTCCTCCATTTAAGCATGATCTCTCACTACTAACATGGTCTTGACATTTAGTCATGACAGAGGAGAGAAATGACTGCAGATGAAACACACAGTCCAGCTCTTAACATTCCATCATGGAGAACCAAAGAGGCTCCATAAAAGATGAAGTATGAAAAAGAAAGACAAAGCAACAAGGATGAGTGCCCTCGCGCTATCCTTCAGGAGGTTAAACTACACAGAGACAGGAACAGAGAAGCGGTGGCGGCAGCAGCAAAATTAGCGGGAGGTTTAGAGGGTGTGGAGGGGAAGAAAGGAATGGTGGAGCATTCTGGGAGCTGCCCAAATCACCACACACACCAGGAGGCAGAACGAGGAGGGGAAAAAGACAGGGGGTGGGGGCAATAGCGTTTCCATGGCAACCGTGATTGCCATAGTGGTCGTTTTCCCCTGGAAGCACTTACCATCTTCCTCCTCCTTTCTGCAATCTGCTCCTCTGACTCCATCTCTACTTCATTGCTAACAGAGGTTTTCTCTTCTAGATCCTCTATTAACTCAGGATCCTGCAAGAGGGGGAGAGGGCCTTTATCATCGCCTGGCTACAGACCAGGAGAGGAGCATTAGAGAGGGAGAGAAAAGTGCGGGAAGTGTCGATTCGGGCCGAGTGTGGCCGAGATCTTGGGTCAGACAGACCAGATTGTACTTATGAGAATCTGTGCATCAATGCAACTACTAAACATATCGGAGTGGATTCCTCTGTTCTAACTGTGCCAGAATTGCTGACAACTCTTCCTTGGATGTCCTGATATATATGACACCAGGATGGCAGGGAGTTACATGGGTAGATTCTTGCAAATTTTCACAGCGTGCCAAACAAGCAAGATTTAGTATTCTGCCACCGGCCACCACTGAAATACGGGAACATACGAGCAAAATGTTGATGCAAAAATGCAAAAAAATGTTTTCTGGTGATTAGACACTGTAATTAGGGCCAGGAAGGAAATGTGGATGAGTAAACAGATCATTAGAATGACTGAAACTATCCAACGAAGAAAGAATCATGCACAGATTAATACACATGGATAATATTTACATGCAAACAAGTTTTTTTTTTTTGACCTTTATAGATCAAGGGACCTCCTTACCCAGACTCTCAGCCAACCCAGGCAACCCCGAATATTTCAAAAACGCTAGATTATCTCTGTTACTCATTGCAATAACCTTCGTAAAACCATGACTTAAATTATTTAATGCTTATCAGATTAAGCATTAAACTACCTTTCATGGATGAAGACAGGCGTGTTTTCATTTTGTGAGATGAAATGGTACTTATGTGGGTAAGTATAAGACTGATTTCACTAACAGCACTGTGCGTGTCTATCATACCTGATTGTTAGATATGGAGAGCCGGAGTGGAGAGAGTTTTCTTTGTTTGCCGTCATTGAGCAATTTCCCCTTGGGCCCGTCACAGTCCATAGTGAGGTTCTGGTTCTGTCCGCTCTCGTCCTGCGACGGTTCTTTGTCCTTGCGGCTGCGCCGTCGTGTGCTAGAGCCCAGATTCTCTGTGGGTTCCATGTTATGCTTGAGCACAGGGCATTCCTGATTGCCTTTCACACACGCACAGTCCACCTTATATTTACTAGCAAACAAGATGAGAAACAGGAAAAGTAGTGAGAAAAGTGTGAACGGTCCATTTTAAACAGAGTTTTCTCTGTTTGCCGTCATTGAGCAATTTCCCCTTGGGCCCGTCACAGTCCATAGTGAGGTTCTGGTTCTGTCCGCTCTCGTCCTGCGACGGTTCTTTGTCCTTGCGGCTGCGCCGTCGTGTGCTAGAGCCCAGATTCTCTGTGGGTTCCATGTTATGCTTGAGCACAGGGCATTCCTGATTGCCTTTCACACACGCACAGTCCACCTTATATTTACTAGCAAACAAGATGAGAAACAGGAAAAGTAGTGAGAAAAGTGTGAACGGTCCATTTTAAACAATTATCTGATGCTCTGCGGCAACCAGAATCAAACATTTCAAACAGAATAGTCATTACACATCCAGTAATCGGGGATACTCAGCCCTAGTGCGTGTTCTTACCAGTTGCCGTAGTCATAATCAAAGCCAATGGTGATCTCACTCCCTTTGGAGATGGACCTCAGAGAGTAAATGTATAAATGCAGCATGCCGTCCTCGATTACGTGGCGCACCTCAGCGTTGGGGGTGCAGGAGCGACGAATGAATCGGGCCTCGTTGCCGAAACTCCGTGCGTCCACGCACAGTTCCAACCCGTCAAACTTAGAGTAGAACAATACAAAAGGGTACGGCCTGCGAATAAAAAATGAAAATTATAAACAAAAATGCAGAAGCAAAACTAATGTTCTAAAGCACAGTGTCCTTTCAAGTACCTCTTAAAGAAGTAACCATTGGCCTCAAATTGCTGTCGTAGCATGACTTTCCCCCTGTACTCGATTATTAGCGAATCGGCAGCCAAATCCCGAACAGCCTTAAGAATGCGCTTGTTCTTCTGTACGTGACTCTGGGAGGAAAAAGTCACAATGAGCATGTCGTACGAAGTCACAAACAAAGCACCAGAAGTGCAGACCAATATTGTGGTGGAATTTGTATATGTGAGTATTTAATACCTCAACAGGTGGTTTGAAGGCTGCGGTGTGTGTATTGTAGGCCAGCGTTTTGCCATCTCTGGCTTCTTTTACTCTTAGCAGTATCTGCACTTCTTCACTGTACTGGTTACTGCTGGCTTCCTCATAGCGCTCCATCCACGACTTCATCTTATTCTCCCAAAGAGAGGGAGGATCTGTTGGCTCACACTCGGGAGCTGAGCCCTGAGGACAGAAGATGCACAAGATGGTAAACAAGCAGTGTAAGCATGCGTAACACACATTTGAATAGTTATTTGGGGGGTAAATTTGGATAGCTCCAGAGTACCCACCTTTACTCTAGACGATTTTCTAGAGCCTTCACGGAATGACTGAAAGACAAACACAAGCAGAAATCAGACTTGTATGTTTCAAAGCAGGTGAAGTAATTGATTTTGGTTCCATAACATGACACATTTACATAAATAATATCTAAATAGACAAAATAATCCAAATAGACTTGCAACATAAAATCTTCTGAGAAGAAGAAAAAAGAAAGTATTACGGTTTCCACAAAAATTCCATTTTGACGTCATGTTTACATTTACATTAGGTTGACATCATATTTACATTAGGTTGACGTCATGTTTACATTTACATTAGGTTGTTGTGTGATTCAGACCTTCTTGGCCCTGGTTGTAGCCGGGGGCTCCTTTTCTCCACTCTTCTTTCGTTTCTTATCTGCCTGTTTGTTACCGAGACGTGCTGTCGTGAGTGTGATGCTGGTAGGGGTGTGCTGAAACGCTGTGTACAACTCTAGTGGAACCTCATCTCCACTTTCTGTAGCACTGGTGTCCCCGTCTGCAACAAAACACGCAGTACATGAGCTTGTACAATGAATTCACCCCCTAAACCATTATAGTACAACTGACATTTAACCCTCAACCATAAATATAAAGTCACTGCAGTTTAAACAGACACTATTGTCCTCAAAGTGCACTTTGACATTGAATCAAGCTGCAGCTGTAATGCCCAAGCATTTCCAGCAGGTGACAGTAGAGGCAGAGAGCTCAGATATTTTCAATCTTAAAGGAGTCATATGATGTTGCTAAAAATAACATTATTTTGTGTATTTGGTGTAATGAAATGTGTTTATGCGGTTTAAGGTTAAAAAAACACATTATTTTCCACATACTGTACAGTATTGTTTCTCCTCTATGCCCCGCCTTTCTGAAACGCGTCGATTTTTACAAAGCTCATCGGTCTGAAAAGCGAGGTATGCTCTGATTGGCCAGCTATCCAGTGCGTTATGATTGGCCGAATACATCAAGCGCGTGACGAAAATGTTACGCCCCTTGCCATATTGTGATGATGCCCTGTCAGGCCGGAGCGACGAGACAAAAACATTAAAAACCATTATAAACAGGCATTTGTTGCATCCAGTGGGGACATAATTACGGATTATAATGACTTATACTGTCTTTTTACGCGTTGCATTGCATCGCGCCGTGTAAACATAAAACCATGTCTGCATTTGTGATCGGAGAAATGACAAACAACAAGCCCTACTCTACACCGCCCAAAAAACTCGCTTTAAATATATAAAATATAAAAAACGTACTTACAGTCTGAGTCAGAACAGCCGGCATTGTAGTCTACTCTACCAGGATCAGGAAACAGTCCTCCATAAAATGTATTGCACACATCCGAATATTTGGGTTGAAGTGTTCTGGAACAGTGTTGTAAATACAACTTAACCACTGATTTCTAGTCGTGTCCATTTTTGGAAGGCCAAACAAAGTAGTTTCACTTTCACAAATGAAACACACAGCATCACACACAGCGGGCTAGAGTGAGCGGAGGCCGGCATATTCAACGAAGGAGCGGCCGGCGGGCATTTATAATGTTACAAAAGATTTCTATTTCAGATAAATAGTGTTCATATCGATATCGGAATTATATCGTATCGACCGAAATTAAGAAATACATCGTGATATCAATTTTGGCCATATCGTCCAGCCCTAACATCACTTGATCACTACACGGAGAGCTTCTTATAGAATTGCCGGTATAGATTTCAGGAGGGTCAGATATATATTTCACGTTATACAAAAGCTCATACGATCCTGTATAGTGTAAAGTCTTCAGACTGTAAAGATGCTTATCTGCAGCTGAACTGTGGGAAAAAGCAGTAGTGGCATTGTTTCTGTGGGAGAGGTTGAACGTGTCTATGGGTGTGTTTGTTTGTGTGTATGCATGAAAAAAACTCACCAGACATGTTCTCTCTCTTCCTGGTTTGCAGTAGGATGGCGTGCTCTCGGTCCAGGATGCGTGGCTGACAGCGTTCACACAGGTAGGTCTCGGGAATGTGCTGCCGGTCGATCCCCATGCAGTCTATGTGCTGCCACACACTAATACACAAAGAGAGTTACGAGTGAGGAGAAATGTTTTAAACCATTTCAATTCTTGGTATTATTTGACTGTGATCAAAGCGACTGACAGATCCTACTATTCAAACACTCAATCAACTGTCTGAACCTATATCAACAGTAAGTTTTCATCTGCACTCTGAATTCCCAGCACTGTTACATGTCTTTTTGATAGCACTAATCTCACAAACAAAGAATGGGATCTCATAAAAAAGAATGGGACAGAAAACGGGTAACGCGGAGTAAAACCATCTGTAGTATTTTAACAGAGTAAAGTTACAAACAAAATAATTAAAATGATAACAATTGTAATAAAAAAAACAAGTTTTTTTGTAAAAACACACAGCTTCCCATCCAATTATGTCAAATACTTGACTTAATATTTCTGAACAATTATTGCTATTAGCCATGAAATTAAATCAACATTAACATACAAAGTATCTGTAAATGATGTACAAAATATTAAAACATTGTAATCTTTACTGAAATGCATTTAAAATAAGGGCTGGTAACTATGTTCGATAACATAGCTCGGAACTAATCTAGAAAAGAATAGTACAACATATAAAATAATACTTTGCAAAAATTTAATATTTTAATAGTACATACACTACTGTTCTAAAGTTTGGAATTGGTAAGATTTTTTTTTAATGTTTTTGAAAGAAGATGAGCGCTTACTAGGGTTGTGACGGCGAGGAAATTTTCCCACCGGTTAATCGACGTGTGACAACACCAGTAATACCATACTATTTCTATAAAAAATCAAAACGACGGTGGGGGTCGGTGACGCGGTGGGCAAGTGACGTAACTGGTGTTGCGGCTTAACACTGGTATCACCGTCAACACTGTCTATCGCGGCAAGCCTAGCGCTCACCAAGGCTGCATTTATTTGATCAAAAATACAGTAAAAACAGTAATATTGTGGAATTTTATCACAATTTAAAATAACTGTTTTCTATTTTTATGCATTTTAAAATGTAATTTATTCCTGTAATTTAAAGCTGAATTTTCAGCAGCCATTACTCAAGTCTACATTGTCACATGATCCTTCAGAAATCATTCTAATGCTGATTTGGTTCTTAAAGGCACAATATGTAAGATTTTCGTAATAAAATATCAAAAAAACACTTGCACATTGTTATATATTTCATGCAGTTGTGCACTTACGTTATCCCAAAAGTTCCCAAGAATTTGTAAATCCAGAGAAATTCCAATTTTAAATAATGGCTCGTCCCGGTTCATTGTCGCCTATCAATTACGTAATATCCACGCTATCGGTTTCCGCTTGTAGAAACTATGGCAACACACGTGGACAAAAATAGCGCTGCAGTTAAACTAAATCAAAATGAAATAAAAAGTGTTGATTGCAGAATTAAATTTAGATCTGCTCAATGTTGCACCATGAATCTTTTTCCGCGTTTTTATATTATAACCAATCACACACACGACTGTTGAGTTTATGAACGCAGCGGCCAATCAGAGGCGTTTAGATGAGTCATCGCTGAAACACCAGAGTTTTGTTGTTCAGTGCACGTGCTCGCTGACTGAATTCTGCTCTCTCGAGGATTCTCTCATCATAAACAACAAAGTGCAGATGTACATATGATGTAAGTAGTAGATTCATTCATCAAACAGTGTATAGACAGCTTTACTGATTATAAGGGGAGTTTTTTGAGAGTGCTTAAACTCACGCTAGACGGAAGTCAGGCATGCTATGACCCCTGAACTAACATCATATGACCCTTTAAAATCTTGTGTAACATTATAAATATCTTTACTATCACTTTTGATGAATTTAATGTGTCCTTGCTACTTTTTATGCAAGTATAAAAAACACATTCAACATGAATATTTTTACCCTACATCTAAGAGCATATCTAGGGCATCTATGCCCTTTTAGACAATTTTTGACAGATCTCTACTACCTAGAAACTTTTTTTGAAATATCATTACTACATTAAAAACATTTAATTGCATAATTTCATTACATCTACCCTACATTTAAATCTGTGGCACGTTTGTCACTCTTTGTGGCATCTTTGCCATCTTAATGTCTGACTCTGTCTAGGACCCACTGGTTGTAATATAGCCTACATGATTCTTTAAACCAGGCCTAGTCTCAAGAACTAGTGAGCTCCACATCAATAAAGCATTTTAGACAGCTTAAGACAGATAAGCACCTCAGCAGGTTTTGACACACAGACATGAATGCTGTAATTACATATGTGGACATGGTTTGAACATGTCAAATTGGCATCAATGTGTGTGGTCCCACCTGCACTTGTCGCAGCAGATCATGTAGCCATCGTCATGGGTGAAGCCGCAAATGCAGCGTGTGATGTCAGCACCGTAGCTGCCGTCTTCCGAGGTGCTGAGCGTGGTGCCACGCGATGCCTCGTCCTGGCCGCCAGGCACAAACAAGTTCTCGCCTGGCCGACTCCCGGACACAAACAAACTCTCGCCCGGCCGGATCAGCACCGAGGGAGGCGGGGACGCCGGCGGGGTGGGTGGGGGCCGAGCCCCATAATTGTGGTCCTGCCGAAGAACCATTAGAAAGTAAAGAAGTGAATGCATGATCAAATAACACAATGTTGATAAGCAGGTCAACAATGTAAGGGCAGGAAGGTGTGTGCCGTGTTTTGCTGGGGGACGATACTCACGGCGTAAGGCAGACCGATGTAGCCGTGGGAGTGGTGGGAGCTGCTGCTGTAAATCTGGTGAGGGTAGCTGGACTTCTCAACTACCACAGAGCTCGCCTCCACAGATTCTGGTCTACTCCATATACACAAACACACAGGGAAAAAAAAAAGTGGCCAGAATGAGGAACAAGTTTAACTAGGCGTGTTAAGTATATGAAAAAAAACAGGTTTGACAGCAGTGAAACAAAGGGGAAACGAAGATGGAAGATTAACAAAGCTTGCTGGGTTGCAAGGAGAAGTTTATTCACCAACGAATCAACGGTTGTGTTTGCACCAGTTATTGCATATTTTAGCATGACACAGAACACCAAAGACCTCAGTAGTGACCTGCTATCTGTACACACGTGTGTGTGTGTCCTGTCATGCCCTCAGCTGGCGGGACGCGGCTTGTAGAAAGTGAAATAACAGGATCACACTTCTCTGTAATCTCACAATAAAGTCTGTCACAAACCCCAAACCCTATCTGGACCACACAAACATGCCAAATGAAAGGGGGCCCTCGCTTCCATGTGTTATTAGAAGCGAATTAAATGAATGGAAGAAGATTTAGAGTAAAACCAAAAATGGCAGGAGTGTTGTGTGTATAAACTGGCTGCAAAAGAACCTTTAATGCCAAGTTTTATTGGCAAAAAAGGACACAGAGAAAGATGGACCATTCCAGACAGATTTATAATCGCATATATAAACATAACAGCATTTTTTTCCCACACAAAAACAAGGTCATGCAGCCACTCTGATGCCAGTATAGAAACAAATTGCATGCTTAACCTGACACCAATGCACTCACATAAACAACATTTACGGGTAATTTGCATATTACTACACTTCTGCATTCGAAGAAAGCGTGTGCTGTTTTCAACATGTGAGACGAGACAAAAACAAGCACATATATACTTCAATAGATACAGTAGTCCTTAAAAAACATGATTACTTACAAAAATGGTTTCAAACCTACCATAAATCAAGGTGTCTGCAGCGTAAACAGCAAAAGCAGCACGACAACACACAGAAACCAGTCCGTATTTGTTTCTCTTTCCAGTTTTTGTTACATTCCCACTTTCCTCTCAATCGTTACTGTCTTACTGCAAGCAAAGAGAAACCGTACCTGCTGGCCTTCTCGTCACATTCACCTCGTGCTGTCTGTCCCTACCTCACGCTCACACTTCCTGATTCAGCTGGTGCTTTGCAGCCCAACTGACAAAGTGAAAGTGTGTGAACTGCTGAGGGGCGGACCCTTGAGAGAAAGAGAGTGTGAGCGTGTGTGTACACACAAGTCTAATGAGAACAAGAGCTCATAAGAAGAAATGGCCCTTCCAGGCAGGCGATAAATGATTAGCAGTTTTTATTGATGCTTTTACATTGCGGTGTGGGTTTAGCGATAAGATTATCAACGCGGGACAGGTGACAAGCTGGGGGATTTCCTGTGCATCGATGACAATAAACTATATAGTGTCTTTACTAAAAAAACAGTTGCCTCTCTCAGCAAGGTTAGGAGGAGGACTTTAAACAGGCAGCGAGTCAAAAGGAGACAAAGAGAAGGTGTTTGAGTAGGTGCAAATGCAAAGAGAGGTTTGACAGATTGAAAAAAAAAATTTTAATTACCCATAAACGCAGCATTAAAACGCAACATTTTGATCACATAAATTATTATGACACTCAGTTCTGTTAATGGTTCCCAAACATTACTCTGAATCAAACTAAAAGTCAGTTTTCTCAAAATTTTGTTTGGTGATCAATCAGTGCAGAAATTACACACTTCACCTTTAACACCCGGTCCTAACCAGTCCCAATGCAATAAGATTTTGTGTCCACACTAGGGTTGTGACGGTGAGGAAATTTTTCCACCGGTTAATCAACGTGTGACAACACTGATAATACCGGTATCACCGTGGGTGCAGGGGCGTTCCCTCTTTTCCTCGCTTTCCTTCACTTTTAAATAGCTTGTAAAAGCTGCATGCGCATTTTACTTTCACTTTCAAATAGCGGCAATTCGGCATAAAGCAATTGTTCGTTTTTAGTTTGTTTGAATTTCCCCTCTTTTCCTCGCTTTCCTTCGCTTTTAAATAGCTTAAAAGCGCCGTGCACATTTTACTTTCACTTTCGAATGGAAGAGCAAGTGGGCTCTCTCCGCAAGCTCACTACTGTCTCATACTTACAATGAAACATTTGGTTAATTGCTTAACATTATTCAAAATAGGCTACATACTCAATCTTTGTCATAGAATCCACTCACAAAAAAAAAACAAAAAAAAAAACAGTTTGACCAATTCTATTTTCCTTTCATTTATTTTCAAGATCTGAGGTAAATTGATCCATTGTCACTTTCATTATGGCCATCAAGTCTAAATAAGAGTATATATTGAAATGATATCTCGTATTGAGACCTGTGAAAATGTTTTGCCGTAAAACAGCATAAGGTTGAATGCCGTAGTTAAATAACATCTTAACCCTCTTAGCGCCAAAGTCGCAAAATTGCGACAAGACGTCATACTTACATCTTAATATGGAAATATCATCACAGCACACCATGTTGTTATACATTGCGTCAAACAAAATGAATTTAAAAAAAAAAGAGTTGTACAAAACTGATCACAGAGAGAAAACACATGAGAGATGGAAAAGACAGAGAACGGTGTGTGTGGTGCTGCAATTGAAGCTCCAATTAAATGTAACGGGTATGCATGTGCTAATCATAGCCCACCACTCCAGAGCCAGCTTAATATGGAATAGACACAATTCACACACACACACACACACACACACACAGGTTTGTTTTTGTGAAAAGTGGGGA